AGCTAATTTTTTGTATTTTAGTAGAGATGGGGTTTCACCATGTTGGCCAGGATGGCCTCGATTTCTTGACCTCATGATCCACCCGCCTCGGCCTCCCAACGTGCTGGGATTACAGGCGTGAGCCCCCACACCTGGCCAGCCTAGAATTCTTAATCTGCAAAAAGTGTTGGTATGGTTTGAATGTGTCCATTTAAAATTCAGGTGTTGCCAATGTAACAGTATTAAGAGATGGGGCCTTTAAGAAGGGATCAGGCCACCCCTCTTTTGTAGGATTAAGGCCCTTTTAAAAGGGGCATCACAAAACATTCAGCTAGCCTGCCCTTCTGCCACGTATGGACACCAGAACAAACGTTGATGCCTTGATCTTGGACTTCCCAGCCTCTGGAACTGTAAGAAGTAAATTTCTGTTCTTTATAAATTACCCAGTTTCAGGTATTCTGTTGTAGCAGCACAAAACAAACAAAGACAGGTGTCTTTCAAAAGTGAAAGCAAAATAAACACTCCAAGGTAATCAGAAATGGAGAGAATTTGGTACCAAGAGATTAGCATAAAAGGTAGTACTAAAGGAAATTCTTCAAGAAAATGAAGCAAAGAAATGAAGAAATTCAGAGCAATTGAGAGGGAAAACCATGGGTAAATATATAAGAATATTAATAATCATAATAAGGGCTTACGGAGTTTAAAATATGTTGAACTAAAACACATTACAATAATAGCCAGAATGTGGGGAGCAGAGGCTTGTTAAATGAAGTTAAAATGCTGTGAGGTTTGGCCAGGTGTGGTGGCTCATGTCCGTAATCCCAGCACTTTGGAAAGCTGAGGCAGGAGAATCATGAGGTCAAGAGTTCGAGACCAGCCTGGCCAGCATGGTGAAAGCCTGTCTCTACTTAAAAAATAATAATAATAATAACAATAATTAGCGTGGCATAGTGGTACACACCTGGAATCCCAGCTACTCAGGAGGCTGAGGGAGAATTACTTGAACCCAGGAGTTGCAGTGAACCAAGATTGTGCCACTGTACTCTAGCCTGGGTGACAGAGGGAGACTCCATCTCAAAAAAAGAAGAAAAAAAAAAGGTAAGTACTAATTTGAGGCAGATGCAAATGTTGACATTATTTCATTTTTAAAAGACTTGACACATTTTGTAGAATATACGTTACTCTCAAGTGCATCAAAACTGATCATATGCTAGGCCAAAATCAGTTCCAACGAATTTCAAAGGCTTGAAATCAGGGTATGTTCTCTAACCAGAATAAAGCTACAAATCAACATAACTGTGAACAAATCCTCAAATGTTTAGAACTTAGTGCACTTCTACATTGCCCACAGATCAAAGACATTTCAATGAAAATTAGTAAATATTTTTAATTAAATGACATTTAAAATAGGGCATATTAAAACTTGTGAAATAAAGCTCAAACAACGTAATGAGTGAAATCTGTAGCATTAAATACATGGTTTAGGAAAAGAAAGGCTGAAAATTGGTCATCTAAAGTTCTATTTGGCTGTGCTTATGTCTGTACTCCCAACACTTTGGGAGGCCGAGGCATTCGAGACCAGCCTAGCCAACATGGTGAAACACTGTCTCTGCTACAAACACAAAAAATTAGCCAGTGTGGTGGTGTGTGCCTGTAACCCCGGCTATTTGGAGGCTGAGACAGGAGAATCCCTTCATCCCAGGAGGTGGAGATTGCAGTGAGCCTAGATTGCACCACTAAACTCCAGCTTGGAAGACAGAGTGAGATTCTCTCTCAAAAAAACAAAACAAAAACAATAAAACTCCATTTTAAGGTAAAAAAAAAAGGACACCAATTAAAACCAAAGGAAAAAACGGATGACAAAGTTAAAAGCATAAATAAATTAGAAATAAGAAATGTACAAAGAAAGTAACAAAGATTAAAGGTGATCTGCTGAAGAGGCTAAGACATTAATAAGCCTTAGCAAGATTAAGAACAATTTAAAAAGGCACAGATTATCTTTGGTAATGAAAAGGAACATCACTACACATTGCAGACAAAAGATAAAAAGAAAATATTATGAATGTTATGCCAAAATTTTGAAAATTTGAATGGACACGTTTCTGGGGGAAAAAACCTCTCTTAAAACCTGTACAAAAGGAAATATAAAAACTGAACAACCTTATATCTATGAGGGAAACAGAATCTTCCCCTAAAGAACACTTCAGGCCCATAGGACTTCATTAGTGCTTTTTTCTAAGACAGGTCTCACTTTGTCGCCCAGTCTGGAGTGCAGTGGCACAATCACAGCTCACCGCAGCCTTAATCTCCTGGCCTCAAGCGATCCTTCCACCTCAGCCCCCCAAGTAGCTGGAACTACAGGCATGCACCATCATGCTCAGCTAATTTTTTAATTTATTGTAGCGGTAGGGTCTTGCTTTATTGCCTAGGCTGGGCTTGAACTCCTGGACTCAAGTGATCCTCCTGTCTCAGCCTCCTAAAGTGCTGGTATTAAAGGCATAGCCACCATGCCTGGCCGTGACTTCTAAATTTAAGGAATAAACCAAATTATTTTCAAACTATCAGGGATGAGAAAGAGGGAACATTTCTCAAATTATTTAATGAGTTGGGCATAACCCTGATACCAAAACCTGTCAAGCACATGGAAAGGAAAGAAAATGGCAGGCAGGTTTCTCTCGAATGGTCACAGAAGACGCAAGGAGAATGTGAGTAAATGGAAACTCACAAGGGCCAGGATTCTAACCCTCCCAATGGTAACGGTGCTTTCGCAGTCCCAGTAGGATTCACACAGATTCCTTCTCACCCTGAAAACAATCTTTCAAAGGTGGTTTTACATATGGGGATACTGAAGTCCAAAGAGGGGCAGCAATGAGCCCAAGGCCACACTCAGGACAGAGCCTGGCTAGACAAATTAATTCCATCTGATGGACATTTATAGGCCCTGGCTATGCACCCAGCTAGGTGGGAGGATGCAACTTACCCCTCCCCCCCACACATACACCTCTGCACCTCCCTTCCCCCTAACCTGGACCTCCCTGTCCTGGGGCCAATGTCTGCTGTGCCGCTGCAGAGTGGGAAGGCAATGCAGAGAAGCACTAGTGTTGCCCAGGCAAGCTGCTAGCACCTTCAGGAGCCCAGGGGCACCCAGGGATGACCCTCTCTGCTGGTCCCCAGGCTCCATAAGCTGACCCTGCCCAGAGGGAGCATATGGCCCTGGGTGTTAGAAAGGCCCTGTGCACTTCAAAGGCTCCCTGTGGCCCTGTGCACCTCAGCCTACCTCTAACCATTTCCCAGCGCTATGGGTTACAGAGTACTTCTGTGTTTCTCATTTGACCCTGAAGAAACCTGCCAGACAAATGTCAGTGCCTCCACTTTGCAGATGAGGAAAAGTGAGGCTTTGTAGGATGGATAACTTATCTAAATTATCTACACGGAGAACAACAGCCCCAGGGTGAAACACAGGGCCTTCCTCATCACACAGGGGCCCCGTTCAGTGCGAGTTAAGATGTCCTAGATTGTACAATATGAGACAGACAAGATCGAAGCAGACAGACATGCTGAAAACTGCACAAATGCTATATAAAAAGAATGCTTGGCATAGCTAAGTGTTGACACATTTTTTTTTTTTTTAAAGTGTAGAGAACCCAGAGGGATGCCGCCACAGTGAGAGATCAGACACAAATAAGGCATGAGACAGTATAAAAGAAACAGAAATGGAAGAATGCCTTTCAAGAGGCTTTATAAGCCAGGAAAGGAGAATTCTTTAAACACACACGGGCTCTTCAATAACTTCAGGTCCCAGGGCCCAGGGGAGGGGTGAATACAATGGGCCATTAAGCCTGGGCCTTTGTCACAATGGCAGCCAGGGAAAATCCCATCCCACAGGGGCCTTCTGAAAGGAATGAGATTGGTAAATGGGGAGGAAAAACATCCGCTGGACAGTGGAATGAGGGACCTATCAGCTAAATGACTTAGAATGTGAGTGAGGCCTGATGGTGGAACCCCTGTAGGCCAAGAGCTCCAGAGTGGGCCCCAAAACCAAAGCCCTGTCCATCTGAGTGGCAGCATCTATGAAAACAGCAATTTCAGTGAATCAGGAGCACAGAGAACCTCCTGAACAAAAATGACATTGTTCCCAGAGCAGAGAATCATAGCATCAACCTATCGAGTTCGTTTTTGAAGGGGAAATAAACCTATGGATAACAGGAAATTGGTGGATGTAATTTCTGGAGGCCTTCAAAAAACATGTGAGATGAATCCAGGCCAAAGCTATGTAAAAGCCTGAGTGACATGGGAACTGGGAGGATGGTTCCGCCATGGAGAAGCTTGGGGGAAAGCCAGGACACCGAGGCAGGGACAGCCAGGCCTCTCTCCAGATGGAGAATGTCAACAGGGGTATCCCTGGGGAACGGGCTGGTTTTCCTTCTTCAGCAGTGACCTAGGGTGGGAAGGTAAGGGAGGGAGGAGCTCCCTGGGGGTGGGGGTGTGAGGCTGACAAACTTCACCCAGCAGGACCCTGAGGCCACAGGATGAGTCAACGCCCCACCTGTGGCATGAGCAGGTGCACAGGGTGGATCTGCAGTGGGACCAGCAAGAGAAGTAGGGGAGGCATGACGTGAAGTGATGCCCGTGATGCCCCTGACCTTGGCCCCGAGAAGGTCATCTGAGAAAGGAATGCAGGAAGTCATAGCTGGTTGCTTGGGCAATGCATTTCTTTAAAGGGAAAAGTTTTACATTACAGAAACAAAACAAAACAAAACAAAACAGAGCAGGAAGGCAGAAAAGGAGAGATCTGGGTCATGCAGAAGCAGACTTAGGAGTGAGAGGCTCCCTGAAGCTCAGAAGCTGCCCTCTAATGGCAGAGGAACTCAGGTGGCCAAGTTCAAAGGCAAACACCTGAACTGGGCAGATAAATGCCAAGCTCCACATAGTCAGGGGCTGTCACTGTGGTTCCTCTCCCTATGACAGGGTCACAGTCCCTGAGCCCAAGCTCCAGGCCCGTGGCCTCCCGAGAGCCTCACCTGCTGCTGGCTCTGCTCCTCCAGGTTCATCTTCACCTCCAGCGACTGGCGGGCCTCCAGGAAGGCCTTGCGGTGCTTGCGGTCGGCCATGTAGTAGGACATGATGCCCACAGTGATGGCGCACAGGTAGAGGAAGACATTGGCCAGGATCTGTACCCCAAAGAAGAAGAGAGAAAAGGCCAGTGGTGAAGGCATGTTTTCAGAAAAGGGGATGGAGGAGGAGGGGTGGGTGGGGACCAAAATCAAGCCTCAAGTTGCCTGAAGTCCAGGGAGGGGCCCAGCAGGGCCTGGGACCTCAGAACCTCATGGATAGTGGCCCACCAAGGGGCATGGCTCGAGAGCCTCAGACACCACTGCACGTACCATGGATGGGTGGCCCACCCAGGGTCATGGCTCGAGAGCCTGAAAGGCTCAAGGGTTCCATGAGCGGTAGGGTGCAGGCGTGCAAAGCTGGCTGAGGGGCTGTGGTTCCCCTCTAGCTTCCCAACAAAGCAAGGCTGGCCAGTCCCTCCACGGATGGGGCCTGAGTAGACCCTCTGCCACCCATTTACTCCTTCATACATTTGCTCAAGCAGCACATGCTCAGATGCTCCCATGTGCTGTGCTGACTCACTGGGGAGGAGGGTGCACAAATCCCAGGTCCCACTGGGCAGGACTATGTAATTCTAAACGCTCAGATGGTTTGGGTTGCCGCAGAAGCCCTGAAGAGGTCCCAGGCTGATTCAGTAGCCACAGTGTTGACCTTACACATGTGTCACAAGTTTCTAGTTTTCTGAGATTCACAGGTATCCCCTTAGCTAACCCCACCTGCCAGCAGGTGAGGGGTACCCAGTACCAATACTCAGGTCTCAAGCTATTGGGGGGGTTCCTGGGACCTGAGGTCTCCCCCACTGCCTGCAAGGTCAGTGTAGTAGCTCAAAGGGCTTCTGGGGCATCAAGTGCCCGTTCCCCATGCCTGGCACGCTGAAGACCCTCCAGGTGAGCCCCCCCCACTTCCACAGGCTGTAGAGACTGCAGATCTGATGGTCTCCTGCTGGGATAACCTTGGATACAGACCTGAACATCCCAACCATGCCTGACATCCAGGCCTGGCTGCTGCTACTCCAACCTCTGGCCATGACTGGGCCCCCACGTGGCTGGACTGAGTGCTAATCCCTCCTACTTCTTCAAGACTACTGGGCTCGGTAAGTCTTTTCAAGCAAGGCCTCTTTCCTGGTCCGGCTCCTCCAGCTTCCCTGGCGCCAGCTCCACGCCCTTCCCCTGAGGCTATGCCCACCCTCTCAGCCCTGGTTCGCCAATGCCCCGCCTGCTCAGTGTGGTTTCTTGGAACTGAGTCTGGAGTTGAGAAATGGGATGGGAAGAGAAGCGGAAGAATTTCTCAGTTTCTGGACCTCAGGGGAGGAAAGACTGGCCTCAGAGTAGAATGGATTCTGGGGTAGGTGAAAACTGCAGGGAAATCAATTTCAAATTTTAAACAAGATGGTCTAATAGACAAGGGAGGCTGGTTCTGACATGGGTTTTCTGGGTTCTCTTGTTTATGCCATATCCCCTCTGAACTGTCTTGTTTCATCAGAGCTGATCAGCACTCGCTCTGAGGACCCGCCACTGCCACACCCTGCTGAATGTTCCTGCAGCCTCTGTGGCCCTCAACAAGGGCCCAGGCCCACCACATCATGAATCAGGAGCTCAGGTAAGTCTCAATGCTGGTCAGCAAGTCACTGGGTGTAGATTCCCAAGCTCTGGCCTCTGGTTCCAGCCTGTAATGACCCGTCAATCTCCTGGGTCTGGGCAGCCCTAGCTGCCTACCTCATCTGTGGGGCAAGTCTGCAGGGGCAGGACAGCCCACCCCTGTCTGAGCGGTCGGTACCAGTATGGCCTCAGGCCACTCGGTCAACACCTGATTGGCCAAAAAGCTGCCAGCATGTGTTGAGGGAGTCCTAGCAAAACCCACAGACACGCTGGGCTCAAGAGCACCTCCAGCAGCCCGGAGGTCGCTCTCCTGCGGGGGCTGCGTGACCTTGGAAGTCTGCTTGCCCCCAAGCTCATGATGCTAGAAGCCAGGAGACCTGGGTGACAAGGTCAGCCTTCCTTACCAAGCCACACATCAGCGCCCAGGGCCAAGGGTCTCCAAGACTCAGCGCTCTGGGTCCTGGAGGCCAAGGGAGAAGACACATGTGGAGGTGGAGGCCAATTGGGAACCAAGCACCTGGGCCCCGCACTGCTGGGGTCGGGGACCCTGCACGGAGTGCCCTCCCCGCCCCCCCCCACATACACACACAAGGCAGGCTGCCCTGGGGCCACAACCATTTGAGTATCTCACTGGGCTGAGGAAAGAGCTCTGCACTCTGGGTCTTCCTGCTTCCAATGGACATGCCCTGCCTGGCCATCACATGAGGACAGATGGGACAGGCTCTATCAAGTGAGCAGTGCTGAGCTTGTGCAAGGAGTTGCTGACATTACCCCTTGGTTGTCTACCCAAGACCTGCTGTGCAGACCATCAGAACAACAATCTCAGAAAAACTTCACACCAGTCACCAAAGATCACGACCCAAGGCTGGAAGCAGGGCTCAGGTCTGGCTCATGCCTGGTGCCCCTCTATGCAGGACAGTATTTCTTTCATTGCTCTGCAAGTTTTAAAAAATAAAATCTGCTTTTTCACTCAACTTGTAGGTACATACAGTAGGGAACATAAATTCAGTGGAACCCTGAACTCTGACCCTGCCCCTCACCAGCTTGCAAATTTCCAGGTCCAACCACCACGCTGAGCTCCAGTTTGAGTGCTGAGCTGAGAATCGACTCCCCTCAATGCTCCCCCTAGCCCTGACACTGTCTGGTCTTCGCCCACCTCACTTACGAGGACAAAGGCAAGGCCATGAGACCTGCCGACAGAGAAGCGCGTGCCGTCCTAGACACCAGCACTTTATCAGCCTCATCTCCTCTAGCTTTGCAACCAGTGCTGAGGTAGGTGATGTCATTCTGGTTTTACGAAAGGAATTGAGATTAAACAATGTGTTCCAACTACAGGGTGAGAACTCCTCCCACATTGCAATCTCAGGCTGGGCTCGGTGGCTCACTCCTGTAATCCCAGCACTTCGGGAGGCTGAAGCAGGTGGATTACCTGAGGTCGGGAGTTTGAGACCAGCCTGGCCAACATGGTGAAACCCCATCTCTACTAAAAATACAAAAATTAGCCAGGTGTGGTGGCATGTGCCTGTAATCCCAGCTACTCAAGAGGCTGAGGCAGGAGAATCGCTTGAACCTGGGAGGCTGAATTTGCAGTGAGCCAAGATTGCACCACTGCGCTCCAGCCTGGTGACAGAGCAAGACTGTCTCAAACAAAACAAAACAAAATTAGAGGGCGAGACCTCCTCCACATTCAAATGTCTTTCTATGGTTCAAAACCCTGCCCTAAAGCACTCCTCAGTTTATTTACATATTTCACAACCCCACCTTTTCCCAGGAAAGAGTGTGGACTTTTTTTTTGGTGGTGGGTGGAGAGAGACAGGGTCTCACTTTGTTGCTCAGGATGCACTGCAGTGGCGCAATCATGGCTCACCACAGCCTCAAATTTCTGAGCTCGAGGGATCCTCCCCCTCAGCCTCTGAGTAGCTGGGATTACAGGCACACACTACTAGTCCCTGCTAATTTTATTCTTTGTAGAGACAGGGTCTTGCTATATTGCCCAGGCTGCTCTTAGACTCCTGGGCTCAGGTGATCCTCCTGCCTCAGTCGCCCAAAATGGTGGGACTACAGGTGTGAGCCACTGTACCTCGCCTACGGATTTTTTAAACTGAAATTTTAGATGGCCACGAAGATGCCAGCCCTACAGCCCTTAGGTGTGAGCTGCACATATTTTAAATCTGAAACAAAGAAGAACACTTGCAGACTTTCCACAGCTGCCACACACAGTGGGGGTCGTAATCTCTAAGCTATTAAGGTTCAGAAATTTCCTGCTTCATATTTATAAATGTGTATCTCACTTAGCAAAATGAATGTGTCCCTCAAAATATGTCTGCAAAAAGTGAGTTTCACTCCTTCAGCAGTGAGCCAGGCACTGAGCTGGCCCGGGGAAGGGCAGTGGCATGACGCTGTCCCTGTCCACAGGGCAGGCAGGTGTGGCCACAGGAAGGACCTGACGGCGCGTAGGCGGGCAGCTGCCGTCCCTCTAAAACCCATCCCTCACGACTGCCTCTCATCACAGCTTAGGAACTTGAGACCCAGGAAAAAATTCGGCCTCTGGAGAAAACCTGAACCCTAGTGAGACTCTGAAATAGGTCTTTCACGTCACCATGACATATGGGTTTCTCTGCACCAGGCCTTGAGCTCTGCTGATCTGGGATTAATTTTTCGGTGCTCCCACTCCCAGGCAAGGGTGAGAAGAGATCCTCCTTTTTAGAACTCTTCTCCCTCCAGGGCTGCCGCACCCGCACCCAGTACTTTGCAAACCCCACCCCACCTGGCCCACCTGGCAGGCTCTGTCACCTGAGAGCCCCGCAGAGACCTCCCATCTGCTCCGACACCCGCACTGCTGCACCCCAGGCAGCCCTTCCTGCTCCCTGTGCCCTGCCACTGTGTGCTGACAGACCCGTCTACTCTACCAGATGGGGCATCTGGGAAGCTGGGCACTGTCCTCACGCCTGTGTCCTCAGCCCATCCTGGCTCCATTCAGCCCCAGGTGCCCAGGAAGCCTCACGCTGTCAGGCGGCACAGATGTGGGTTATGACTCACCCACCACCCACCCCTCACCCCTTCAGCCTGTGGTCAGCAGGCGAACAGAGCAGAAACCATCAGTAAACACGAGCTTCCGGCCCCAAGTCCTTCTCGGGGTCCAGCTTCGCTGCTTCCGGCCTTCCAATGAGCATCCCCTACCTACCCCAAAGAACCCTAGCCCTAAGAACAAAGAGGAACAAGGCTCAGTCACTCCCCTGAGGACAGCAGACGTGGCAGGTACATTTTGGAAGCCATCTAGAGCATCAGACAGAGCAGACAAAGAGGCAGGAAGAGAGGTGTGAAGAGTTGGGGAGATCACAACCAATCAGGGTGATGCTGAGGACAGCTTCACAAAGACATGGGCATTAAAGAAAGATGCGGGGTATGTCTGAAACACAAAGACCAGCTCAGACACCACACTGGGTGAGTGGCACACAGGA